CAAAAAAAAAAAAAAAAAAAAAAAGAAAGAAAGACAAGTGGGACCTCATCAAACTGACAAGCTTCTTGCAAAGCCAAAGAAACCATTGAGAGAGCAGGGAGACAGCCCACAGACTCGGAAAAAATATTTGCCAGCTGTATATCTGACAAAGGCCTAACATCTAGGATCTACAAGGAGCTCAAACATGCCAAAAAGAAAAAAAGCAAACAGCTCCATTACAAAGTGGGCAAAAGATATGAATACACTTCTCAAAAGAAGACATATGAACAGCCAACAGATACATGAAAAAATGCTCAGCTTCACTAGCCATCAAAGAAATGCAAACTAAAACCACACTGAGATACCACCTAACTCCAGTCAGGATGGCCATCATCAATAACTCAAAAAACAACAGATCTGGAGAGGATGCAGCAAAAAGGGAACACTTTTACACTACTGATGGAAATGCAAACTAGGACAGCCTCAGTGGAAAACAATGTGGTGATTCCTAAAAGACTGAAAAAGTGACCACCCATACGACCCTGCAATCCCCCTACTGGGAAAATACCAGAAGGAACTCAAATCACTCTATGAAAAATGTATCTGCACATGCATGTTTATTGTAGCATTATTCACAATAGCAAAAATATGAAACCAACTGTGCTGTCCATCAAAAGGGGACTGGATTAAAAAATGTGGTACATATACACAATGGAATATTATACAGCCATAAAGGACAAAATTATGAACTTCGGGGCAACTTGGCTGGACTTAGAGTCTATAATACTGAATGATCTATCACAGAAACAAAGAACTGAGTATCACATGTTCTTACTCATAAGTGGACCATGAACAATTATTGTAATACTATAAGAAAAGGATTGGCAGTAGTGGGAAATTGTGGGGGTTGAGGGAAGGGCAGGATTGGCAGTAGTGGGAAACTGTCACACCTCATCAATAAGGGTATCTTCAGCCGGGCTCGGTGGCTCAGCCTATAATCCCGTGCCTTGGGAGGCTGAGGTGAGTGGATTGCCTAAGCCCACGGGTTCGAGACCCGCCTGGGCAA